GGTCTGGACAGGCCCCGCGGGCATCAGAGCAAAGGCGAAAATGCCAATGACAAGTGTCAAAAGGCCCTCAACCAAGAAGAGCCACCTCCAACCCGAATGACCCTGCACGCCCCTCATATGGAGCAGGCCGTAGGCGAGAAGGGCTGAGAGGATATCGGCAATACTCATGGCTGTCCAGAAAAAGCCGAGGCGCAAACTGAGCTCGTGGTGCTTGTAGAAGTAGGAAAGATAGAGAATAATCTGGGGACAGGATATATCAGCTTCGCCTCTTTCCACGAACGACAACACACAAGGTGCGAAAATCTTACATCGGGGATGAAGCCGCCCTGGAGAATACCCAGCAAGGAGCGGCAGACCAAAAAGGAGGTCCGGCCATTGAGCCAGAATTGAGCGCTAGCAACAATACTCCAAAGTACCATCTGAGCCGGAATCCAGCGATCGGGGCCGACCCACTTCGACACCAGCTGTGATGGCAGCTCTGCGCAGAGGAAAGAGAGCTTGAAGACCGTATTGCCAAGGTTGTAGTCTGTATGCTGGTCAGTGACACCGAGACCAAGGCGAGTGTTTGATAAGGGGGAAGGCCATACCGTTAGTGATCATGCCGAGATCTGTGAGGAAATTGTCTGTCAAGGCCTGACCGATATTTGCTCGGTCAAGCTCAAGAGCCATGAACATGATACAGGCCCACACCATGATGCGAAAGTCAATCTTGCGCACGAGCTTGTACTCTTCGCCCCATGTCCAGCGGGCAAGGGGATCGAACCGACTGAGGTTCTCCCTGCATCAGAGTGTTAGCATCTTCCGTATCCGAGGGACCAAACACGGCCACTAAGCATGCCGCCGCTACTGCTACTCACCAGTCCGATCGCGGTTGGTACTTTTCTGCTGTTTCCGGGTCGTCGTAGACGCTAGGCTGAAAGTTGTGTTAGCAGTTGTCCGGCACAGGCCAAATTTGCTGGCAGGGCTTAGTAGTAACTAACCAAAGTTGCAATGGCATCGGGATCGTAGCTCGTTTTCCCTCCTCGCTGGAACCAGAAGCGCTTCTCCTCGACGGCAACACCAAGTGGAGGGATACTGTTCACGGAGGTGGTTGAGGCATCTGGGTCCAGTTTGCCATCTGCATCCCGCTCCCGCTTCTCGGCCGCGGCATTGCCGCTTCGAGTGAGAACGGTCGACATGGCGGCTGTCGCTGCGTGCCACCTATTCCCGGCCGGGTGATGTAAGAGTTGAAGCTGATACTCACAACACTAGGCGATAAAGGAGATGGGCTCCCAGCGGTTGAGTGTGTAGTGAGGCTGGAAGATAACTGACGCCATGATAAGGAATCCGGGCCCTTCTTAAGGATTGGCAGTTCCTCCAATATCTCTTCGGCTATAAGGAGTTGTACTACGCCAAGGCAAACAACATGACGAGCACGGCCCACAATATCACGTATTATGTGCAGTCGAGCACTCTCGACCGTCCAGGGGGGTGAGCCTCCGCAGATGCACAGATGGCGTTCGTGATAGACCCCACGCACCCGGTGGTTTATTGATCAGCTCTCCTCATTCCTGGGGTACTGGGTTTGCCTCACCATGCCCGGGGCCCTGGTTCCGGGACTTGCAGTGGGGGTGACACGGCACGACATGGGTGGCCCAGAATCTGTGTGCGCTTGTTTGCACTCTTCGCCCCCCCCCCCCCCCCCCGCCGAGAGTGTGGCTCGCCGAGCAGAACCGACCGAGAGGCGTAGTCGAGAGGAGGCTTCTTCCATCTAGACGCAACCAAGACTCGATTCCAGACCATGCCCAGAAGGCTGTTGTCAGAGCTGCTAGCGGGGGGGCTGAGGGCATCGTGGCGAGCCCATTCAGCTCGGCATGTTGGAGATACCTCAAGACTGACCTCGGGTAGATTATCGGCAGCTCCTGCACAGCAAGCGGAGACATGGAGTGCGCGAGCAGACCAACCCAGAGAAGGCAGGACATCCGGGCGGCAAGACAGTGTGCAGGACGCCACCTGACTTAGCTTGGTGTCGTGATGAGGAAAAGCAAGTGCGTTGGGCGGACAATCCAGGATTCACCACCGAAACTTGAGAGAATTCGACAACTTACAGCCAAACATGAAAATATCCCCAGCACAACCTGAGGATTCGGCACGGATTGATAATCATTCAGTAGTATTGGGCCCCTCAATGGCCAATAGATTGCCTTGGATAGAGTGGATTATCACCAATGGCATGGTCGTGGCGCCGGGCCTAACAGTTCAGGCAATTGCGCAATGAGACGTGCTTGGCCCTGCTCTTGACGCGACCGAGTCGCTCTTTCCCCGCGACTCCCAACCTCAGGCAGCGAAAAACCACAGCCGGCCAATGCCTGATTCCGCAAGTCTCCCTTACCTGTGGCGCCATGGCCAGAACATCTGAGACTGTCTTAGACAGCTCTGAATGTCCGCAATTGGCAGTCCATCGGTACTTTGCAGCTCTCCGTTCCCGCCCTGGCAACTGCTCGACTACGACTTGACGCAGCTCGACGAGAACATAGAGATCCACGTGGGTCCTGAGCGTGGAGATTGGTCATGTGCGCGTGTCAAATCCGTCTCTCTGGGACCCGTTCGTGATGAAGGGTTGCGGCCAAGATCAGTGGTGTTCGTTGCATTGCCTCGCATTGAGTCGCATCGCCCCTCGCCAATCCCCTCGAGTTCGTTGTTCCCCGCCCCGCGCAAATCAACAGCACCGGGGAAGACGGCTTCTCGATGGCATCACCGCACTCCTGAAGCTTGTCCGTCTTAAGGCCGATACAACTGATTTCAATATTCCCATTAAATCCGAGAGACCATTCCGATAGCCGTGTTAGAGCCATCGCGGCATCGGCTTCAACAAGCTCGTCATCCCTTTCCGTTGCCGTTGATTCGACGCCCACCGTCGCCCTCACACAAAGCAAGATACCATTCGGCAACCAGTCGATGCAACACCGAGCGACAGTCGCGGGTGTGGAGAACCCTCACGGCGGCGCATGGGTGTGCGAGTAATGTGGGGGGATAGATTTACTGTTCCCTCCCAAGCACCCTCGTAGGCACGCAGCCAATGTCTGGCGGCTGTTTGGTATAAAGACTTGGACGATCTGCAGTATACTGCTGTCCTACACGTCCATCTGTAGAACACATCTGCATACCGCGTCTACAGGAACAGCGCATACTGCACCAACTCAACTCCGAGCTTGCCTTAGATAGACCAACTGCCAAGCAAAGTCGAGACAGTATGGCTCCCTCGGCGATTGAAGTCGACTCCAGCGTGGCCAGCAAGAAGGCCACCCGCCAGCCTCTCCAGCTGTCTGGCGCTCTGGACACGTACGAGTCATTTGATTCCACGCCAATCATTGGACGCGAGTTCCCCTCGGCCAACCTGGTTGAGTGGCTGGACGCCCCGAACTCGGACGAGCTCCTCCGGGACTTGGCTATTACCAGTGAGTGCAGTGTTCTCCGGGCACCTTCTTTCCATCACACGCCCGTCGACTGACTGGAGTAGTCTCTCAGCGAGGAGTAGTCTTCTTCCGGGCCCAGGACAACCTCACGAACGATCTCCAGAAGAAGTTGATTCTGAGACTCGGCGAGCTCACCGGGAGACCGGCAACCTCGACGCTCCACATTCATCCGGTGCTAAACTCGGATCGCGAGCTTGGAGGTACGGACCCCGAGATCAGCACCATCAGCTCAGTGCAATCAAAAAAGTACTACAGCCAGAACACCCCTAGCACGCTTGGCTATGAAAAGCAAGCTACCGCTCAATGGCATAGCGACATTGCTTTTGAGCCTGTCCCTGCCGACTACACTTCTCTTCGTCTTGTCGAGCTACCGACCACTGGAGGAGGTTGGTCACCCCCTTGGCAAACATCTGACTCTTGATTAGAGGTACTGACGGTGCCGGGACAGATACCCTCTGGGCTTCGGGCTACGAGATTTACGATCGGATCAGCGAGCCGTACCAAAAGTTCCTCGAGTCCCTGACGGCGACCTTTGCGCAGCCGGGCTTTAATAAGTTGGCTGAGCTGTCAGGTATCGCGCTTTACGACAAGCAAAGGGGTGCCCCTGAGAACGTCGGGACGGAGCTGAAGGCTGTTCATCCCGTCATTCGTACAAACCCGGTGACTGGCTGGAAGAGCGTCTTCCCTGTGGGCCAACACGTCTCGCACATCAACGACGTGAGCCCGGAGGAGAGCTCGAAGCTCCTGAGCTGGTTCCTGGATCTTGTCTACAAGAACTATGATCTTCAGGTCCGGCTGAAGTGGAAGAGCCCCAATGACATTGGTGAGCCCTACATCATCCCCCTCATGCGAGGAAAACGATCTCTACTCCGGATTGTGTGCTGATTCTGTGTGCAGCCATCTGGGACAACCGTTCCGTATTCCACACAGCGGTTTACGACTACCTTGATGGCCCGTACGGTGAGCGCTTTGGCAACCGGGCCGTCGGGCTAGGTGAGAGGCCGTACCTTGACCCCAACAGCACGTCGCGACGGGCCGCTTTGAGCAAGACTTAGCTCTGTTCTTACCGTCGCTATTGTCATCCTAGCGACACTGGGCTGTGAGATTGATAAATGACGAGTCCATATGACGAATGCCATCCTTGCGCCGCGTGCCCAACTTGTGGGTCAGTTCAGGGCTGTCATATTCTATAGTTTATGCCAACAAAGTATTATACATATGCGTGAAGTCTAGCGCGTTTTGGACTAAATATGATGTAATCTGTAAACTGCCTAGTGTCACCACTATCTTTGCTTACAGACCTAATTACCGCCTACATCTTCCGCATCTTCAGGGGCTCCTTAGAGTTACCCGCTCCGTCTAATAATCATCTTTCCACTCAACTGCCGTATCCGCTGCACAGCTACAGGAGCAGAAAATCGGAGTCCACGTCGTCATAGTTCACAGGGAGGTACCTACGTTATTCATACTTATCGCTCGCATACCACGAACTCGCTTTTTCCGAAACAGCATGGCATGAGCTGGAATATGATGCCGGATTAACATGGTCGGGTGGCGCAATGGTAGCGCGTTACTTTCCGGTGAATATACACTCACATCTGGTAAAGGCTCTGGGTTCGAGTCCCAGCTCGATCGAATCTTTTTGCCGGCATCCTCAACATGATGTATCACATGTCAAAATTTATTGAGGAGGGGTGCATCTTGATTAAGCATTGAGAAGGCGTAGGTAGCCAAGCGGAAGGTGTCTGAGGTACGGACGGACAAGCGTGGAACCTCACTCATTGACCTCGCTCCCCTTTTCTCAGCTAAGTAAGCTATATGCTGCCAGCGGTGTCGGCATAGCCGTCAAGGCTATACCTAGCTAGAAACTGGTCCAAGAGTACGGCAACCTCGGCGTTATCCATATCGGCAAAAGGAATGTGGGTGCTGCCCTTCAGGCCGGCGTCATCGCCCAACATCAGCACCTCAGCATTGCCGCCGTATGCGTTGATGAGAGCAGCGCACTGTCGTGACTGCTGAACCCAGCTGTCATTGGGTCCCCGATGGTCGCCCCACACGAACTGGATAGCGGCGACCTGGGCGAGCTTTTTGAAGTCGTCGAGGGGCACGACGACGGGTCCATACCCGCCAAAGGTGCTCTGCGTGACGTTCACGTTGTCGGGAAACACAAACCCCATGCTCTCATACGCGACGATGCCCTTGATGTTGGTCACGTTGCTCCGCACCGCAGTGAGCTGGGCGCGCAGGCCGGCGGCCGAGTTGGTCAAGTAGACGATGCTGTCGCCCAGCCTCCCCGAGTCGGCCGCGACAGCCGCCGCGTGGGCGTGGAGGAGGACGTTGGCGTATGTGTTGAACTCCTGGTAGCGGGCGCTCGTCGCTTGCTGCCACGCGGCGCCGTCGTGGGTCGGGAACTGCACGTCGGGCCACCATTTCATGTACGAGGGGCCGAAGTTCCACGAGACAAAGTTGCTCTGGTCGCCGTACCCGGGCACGTAAGTCTGGTTTTGGCAGGCCCAGTTGGCCCGGCCGACGCGCGGTCCGTCCCACAGGTACACGGGGTAGTCGCGGCGGAGAAACATGTCCTTGAACCCGGGCCCGCCGTCCCAGCGGTTCTGGAACACCTGGGTGCTCGAGCTGTGCCACATGACGAGGCTCGTTTGGCGGGGCGTCCAGGGGATGAAGTACTCGACATAGCCGTGGTCGCAAGACAGCGTGCGGTTGGGGTTTCCGGGGGCGTTGATGATGGAGCCGCCGATCTGGAAACCTCCGGACCGGTCGAGCACGATCGGTTTAGGTTTGATGCCTTGTCGGGGGAGGTTGGCTGCGTTTGCTGAGGGGAATGCTGACAATGCGGCCACCAGAAGAATGGCCATTCTCCGTCTTGAAAGTAGCTCCATCATAGACGGGCCCAAGTTCAAGTTCAATCTTGGTCAAGAGTCGTCAACTTTTGACTAGGCAATAAACCTCGTTAGCATGGCCATGTACTTAGCAGTGTACACTTGGGTGCCAATTAGATTATCTCGGGCGAGACTGTCTTTCTCTCCATCATACGTGATATATGCCTCGGCGTTGCAGACTCAAGAGGGCTCGTGCTTCGCTGAGCAAAACAGGCAAGCAGGCTAGGCACAGATTGATATTGTATTTTGCGGGGTGCAGACGGGCTCGGCATTCGTTGCCGTCACGTCATTTTGCTTAATTCCAGGACAATTTGCCAAATATTCCCCGCGGCAAAGTTCGGCAACAACTGTCAACTTGCTCAAGGCAGCCATGACCGTTATTAGCAGTGTGCGGAATTTGGTGGGCACGTTATCCCCGTTCCAGGTGGCTCTCTGCAACTTCTGATAGACTCATCAGTGGAAAAAAAAATTCGTAGCTGTGGAAATAAAGTTTGTTGGAGGAAAACTCTTTAACATCGGGGACGGGAGGTAAAAATTGAGTTCTAGATATGTGATGGCCCTAATCAGGAGATTCGCACTCAAAATTTCCTTCCTCCGGTACTTGAAAGAAGCTGAATCGTAGTTGCCGATCTTTTATGATATCACCAAAAGACCTGGATACCGCCATCCAATATGCGCCTCCTCCTTCTCCTCACCCTCACCCTCGGCGCCGCGCGCTTCTCTCACCAGGAGGCCACCGGGAAAAGTCTAGACGAATTTCCCCAAAATCCGCCCGACGTGCAGCCTCCAAAAATCTCAGACACCACCACCAACCTCGGCCCCGCGGACGAGTTCGACCCCGACACCGAAGAGCGGCGGTTGTTTCGACGGCAGTGCGTCAGGGACTGCATCTTCGAGCACTGCAAGCCCGAGTGCGACCAGGACTGGAACTGCTACCGCGGTTGCATTCCAGTTTGCAACCAAGGCTGCAAGGACCGCATCCAAAAGCTGTGGGACTGGGTGCGCAACATTTTCGAGGGCGTGCACACCTACGACAAGGTGACCAAGATCATCGAGGCCATCGAAGCCGGCGAGAAGCACCCCGAGGGCGTGTCGCTTCCGGGCGCGCCGAGGCCGGAGTAGTAGGGGTGATCTCTTGAATATTCTGGCGTGGTTGGAATGGAGGGGGGCTGATGAATGAGGCTAGAACGGGATTTGCTGATGTAAAGGTTGACATCTGGCACTTCTCATGCAAGGGGCAGATTAATCCACAAGAGCTAGTGTCGAATCCCTAGAACTTAGGAATCTGACCTGTTACTGGTATGATAGAGTAAGGGTGATGTGGCCATGTTGCCAAACTTAAGGACGAAGCAAGGTCATTGCTCTTGCTAGGCGTCATCATGACAGGAAGTCTGTTGTTGAGTTCTGAGGTTAATAAGAAAAAGACTAGAATTCATAATATCTTTACAGGTGCAATGCACAAGATGCCACCCATCATCATCATATATCGCCATATAAACCACCTTAGTGAAATCCACAACACCAACCCATCTCCTTTCCCCAGCCCATATGTCCATACATCCCATCATCTCCCTAACAAATCTCAAGCCCAAACCATCAACACCATAACCACAGCGCCAACCAAAACGGCCATCCTGCCACCCGCAGCGCCAACCGACGCCCCGGCATCCTGCACCTTGGAGTTCAGGAAGAACTTGGCATCCGTCAACTCAGCACTCATATCCACCTCCACCCTGCTGCCCTCAACGCAGTACCGCTGAGGCGCGATCCACGTCGAGTCCACCGCGCGCTTCCACACATCAGCAGGGCTGAACAACATCTCCTGCGTGTAAAAGAACCTGCAATTAGCCGCCTGGTACAAGAACTGCAACGGCGTCTCCGCATCAGCCCGACTGAACGCGTTCTTTCCATTGACCGCACCGGGGCGTGCCGGGTTCGCCGCACGCGTCAGCGCATAACCCTCGTCGAGAATGTTCAGCTCGCTGTCGGTGACGTTGGCATCGGGGCTGAGCGTGAGCACGGCCGTCGCCGCGGAAGAGATGTCCTCGAGGAAGAAGACCTGCGCACCCTCGACACCGGCAATCGATTGCATCTGGCCCGTGCGGGGGCGGCCGCCGACGGCCGTCGTCTTGATGTCGAGCTGTAGGATCATGAGGTACGAGAAGAGCGTGCAGGTCGAGCCGCAGGTGCCGTCGGTGAGGATGACGACGTCCTCGGGCGCGAACACGGCCGGCGGCAGGTTGGAGCGGTGGCCGGTGCCGCTGAGGTTGAAGACCGGGTTGGTATCGTTGAGCGGGGTAAACTGGTACGCCGTGAAACGGTCGCCCTTGATGACGACCGGGTCGAGGATGGCGTCGACCGACGTCAGGTTGGTGCCGTCAGGCGCGAACACTCCGCCGGGCACGATGTTACCAATGATAGAACTCTGTTGCAGTGTGCCGAGTGCGCGTGCGCGCGCCGCGGCTTGCTCCTCGGCAGTGTCCAGCTCCCCAAGGCTGTCGCTGTCGAACGCGATAATCTCATCCAGGAAGCGGCCTGAGATTTCAGACATCGCTCGCAGACTCTCAGACTCGCGGAGATTGTCGGCTCGGAACATGTCCATGTCAGGGAAGAGCTGGGCAAAGAGCTCGTAGCCCGCAATGATGTAGCCGCCGCCATTGGCTGACACGTCGATCACGAGCTTCTTCTTTCCTGCTTCCTTGGACTTGGCTAGGAACTCCTCAATCGTCCGTTGAAAGTCTAGGAGATACTCGGTGCTACCCAAGTCGCCGGCAGGAGAAAAGGCTGTAACTGCAAGTACCGCAACATCATCATATCCCGTGCCGTTCAAGAAATAGCCCGAGGTGGTGTTAGCACCGCTATCCCGGACCACAGGGAACGGGTACCCCTTGATAGTAGGCTCGGGAGTAGCAAGCGTGGTCGGCGTTTCAGTCGCATTCGTCTCTGTGGCCACGGCGGCTACCGCTGCTTCGGGGTTGCAAAAACGGTTGTAGTAGTCCTCGCCAGTGCTGATACCGGTGAAATTGGCTCCGTCCCGAATAATGGCAAAGTTCGCTTCCGTCTTCACCTCTCCGTTGTCGTAGGTGATTGTCGTGTTGGGGCCCTGATAGTCAAGAGACGCAGCGACAAAGGTGGCGGCGGTGGGGAAGGCATATGACTGCATAACGGCATTCCACTGTGAATCGGGGTCCTGGTAGCCGCTGAAGACAAGATTACGCCTCTCAATGACAGCAGCTGCGTCTTCGCCATTGATCTTGACGATTGCCTTGGGCATGGTCCCAGCCGCGGTCCCATTTCTCGTTGAGTTGAGATCGGCTGGGTGCAAGATGCTCCGTCAGCAAGTCTGGCAAGCAACCAAATTTAAGCATGGAGGGAACTCACCAAAGTGGTACAGCTTTGGGACCTGCACTCCGTCAATAGAGACGGTGACAATGTCGGCTGCAAGCTTGTTCCGGAATCCAAAGCCCTTGAAAACATCCGGACGGAAAGAAAAGTGACCATCGTGCGCCGACTGCACCAAGTAGACGATGGCAACACCAAAATCGAATTCACTCGCAAAACCGCCCCGGCCGGCGACGTCCGAGATGTTGCTGAGTCCTCCTTGAATATCCACTGGCGCGAGCATGTACGACTGCGGCGGATCTTTGAGGAATGCTAACGTGCTTTGCCATTGCAAGAATGCCTTCACACTCTTGATGAGCTTTTGTGCCGGTTCCACCTTGTTTGGCACTGATTGCA